TAATAATAATAATAATAATAATATTTTACACAGGCACAACATGTGGCTGTTTATGGCAATCCTTTTTCTGATACAAGCACCCACAAACTCAACAAATACCATCGAGCAGAAAAAGGCTATAAATCCTGAGACTTTCATGAATGTTGTAAGTCAGAAGTTTCAATTTCCACTCTGTCCGAAAGCCTGTGGATGTTTAACGGGGGGAGAGAGGGATGGAGGGTATGTATGTAGAGAAGGCTCAGGTCACCATGTGTGCTGGTTTTGTTGAGCGGTGTGATATGACATTGCCTCCATACCACTGTTAACAAGCACTGCTTCCTGAAGAAGTCCTCTTCCTCACAGCAGTATTAAATGCAATTATCAGCATGTCAGTTAGAGGAGGGAGTAATCCCAGCCTGAATTTGATCAGACATCTTCCTGAAGGGTAGAAAGCTGTGCATGGCTCCTCTCCCTCAGCTGCAGCAGGTTGCTCAGGGCCATGTCCAGGTGAGTCCTGACAGTCTCTGAAGGTGGGTTTAGGTGGACCCAAGACATGGACAATAAAATTGCTGAAATTAATCTCTTCTGTCAAACGTGTGACAGTGTGAGCATTCAGCAATGTGTAGGAAGGACCACAGCTGGATTTCACCAGACTGAAACTTCCCAGTCTGTGGAGTTTTTGGCATCAATACGCTCAGGCAGAGCCTCAGGAGCCCTGCGACAAATCCTACATTGCTTGTAGTATTGCTATTGCCCTTCCAGTCAGCCCAGCTTGGCAGGTTCAATATGCTCCACTATCTTATCGGTCCCACGCATCAGCTCAGAGCATGACATGACATGTCCTGCCACCAGTAAATCCTTTTGGTTTCAGTCTTCATTTTTGGAAGCATTTCAAATGCGCGTGCTGCCGCTGGCTCCCCTCCTGCTCACAGGTGTGAGCCCACAGCTGAGCATCTCCTCTTCCCCTGGGCATCTCACTAGGGCAGGCATGGGATTCGGACAGAGCATCTTCTCTCAAAAAAGCCCTCAGCTGATACAGAGACACCCCAGGCAAAGCAATGTCCCAGCTGTTGCAGCTGTTTTGCAAAGCCATCCCAGTGGGTGAGGGATGAGTTCTCCCAGTCAAATGAGCACCTTGGTTACCCAAAGCTTTCTACCTGGAATTTTCTTTCCTCAGAGCCAAATTATCTGCCACAGAGGGTACCCCAGCGAGGAGTATGAAGTCCTGACTCGTGATGGCTACTACATCAGCCTGAACAGAATTCCTCATGGGAGAGAAAATCCTAGGAACAGAGGTACGACTCTATTCTACAAGGAAGCCAGAAAAAAAAACAAAAACAAACAAACCACAAAGACAATAACATAACAAGCAGGTGTAGGGATGAACCTTACCAGGCATGGGGAGTATTTAGTGTTAAAGAAAAAATACTGAATCCACAGTATTTCTCCAATTTACAGCCAAGGATTTAGCAGCCAGCACAGGGAAAGCGTGCGTGCAGCACAGCAACCGCCTGAAAACCAGAGACTTGGTTTTAAGGGTCAGAGGGTGCAGGCATATCTTAAGAGAGCTTCTAATTTAATTTTTTCTCCATACATTTGTGACTTTGGGGTTTGAACGATCTCAAGGATGAGCCTGTGCATCTGAGCTTTCACATGGTTGTTGTCAGTGGCCACAGTCCTGTGCTCGTGGGGATGAGCACCTGAGGTCTGAAAGGGTTGGGAGGGACATTCGCAGCTCTCCAGCCTGAGACTACGAGGGCAACCACCATGAGACAGCTATGGCAAGGATTTCTTCACCAAGAGATGGCATTAAAATACATATTGTAAGTCCTCTGGTGATGCAAGAAAGAGGTTTTGTTGGCCTGAATTTGGGGTGAGTTAGTACAGAAATTCTGTTTCATTGAAATGCACTGTTTCTTTCACATCTAGGGCCCAAGTCAGTCGTGTTTCTACAGCATGGGTTACTCGGAGAAGGCAGTCACTGGGTGGAAAATCTGGCTGACAACAGCCTTGGCTTCATATTAGCAGACTCTGGCTACGATGTCTGGCTGGGAAACAGCAGAGGGACAAGTTGGTCCCAGAGACACCAGTACCTTTCAGCTGACCAGGATGAATTCTGGGATTTCAGGTGGGCTGGAGCAGATTACAAAAGCATGGCAAACTGCTCTGCCTGTCACTAACCTCTAGGCAGAGGTGGGTGCCTCCAAGCAGGCATCTGGAGTATTGTGTCCAGTTCTGGGCCCCACAGTTCAAGAAGGACAGGGAACTGCTTGAGAGAGTCCAGCACAGAGCCACCAAGATGATTAAGGGAGTGGAGCATCTCCCTTATGAGGAAAGGCTGAGGGAGCTGGGTCTCTTTAGCTTGGAGAAGAGGAGACTGAGGGGAGACCTCATTAATGTTTACAAATATATAAAGGGTGAGTGTCACAAGGATGGAGATAGACTCTTCTCAGTGATGAGGACAAGGGGCAGTGGGTGCAAGCTGGAACACAGGAGGTTCCACTTAAACTCGAGAAGAAACTTCTTTACAGTGAGGGTGACAGAGCCCTGGAACAGGCTGCCCAGAGAGGTTGTGGAGTCTCCTTCTCTGGAGACATTCAAGACCCGCCTGGACGCCTTCCTGTGTGATCTCATTTAGGTTCCTGCTCCAGCAGGGGGATTGGACTTCATGATCTTTCGAGGTCCTTTCCAATCCCCAACATTCTGTGATTCTGTGATTCTGTGAAGTCAGAGCACCTAATCCCCAGGTATGGCCTCCCCCAGATCTCCCAGTGATGTGGCCGGAGAGGATGGAGGTACCTGTGCAGATCTGCCTGCTGACATGGTGCCAACACCTCCCTGCAGCTACCCAGCCCTGCTGAGAGTGCAGGGCACTGCCACATGCATGGGGACACCCATCCTGGAGAGACAGCAGCCCTACCCTGGGGCCTCTGCAGGGACCTCCCTGGCTAAGCTCCCCAGCAAAGTCATCGCCACCTCTCCTTCTAGATATTGTCCACAGAAACCTTGTCCCCAAGAACGGCACTTTAAACTGCTAGTGGAGCTCCAGAGCTAATCGTCAGAGAAGTCCTGTATTTCCCAAGCTCATAAACGTGTTTCCAGTAAAAAAAAAAAAGCTAATAAAGTAGGTCTGCATTTCGCACTAGAGGTCACATGGGCAGGAAGTGGTTCTCCTTTCCCTTTTGGGAAAGAGCATCTCTAGGAGCTGAGCTGGTGTGTAATCCTGATGAGAGCCAGGGTCTGCAGAGCTGCTGTGTATTGCTCCTGCACGCACAGCTGGCCAGGCTCTGCACAGTTTCTTTACCATTAACCTTGGTTATGGGAGGACTAAGCCCTTTTAGGGAAGGATGGGGCCATGGCACAAGTGATGCCTTCAGACCCTACATGGTTTCACAGGGCTCTTCTAGCTCATAGGAATTTTCGCCCATAAAATCAGCCACAGATATGAAGCCCCTCAGTAGACAAGCAATGCAAGGCAGCCAAAATTCACAGCTCAGTTTGCTCTCCTGGTGTTACCTTATAACCAACACACTACTCCTGTGTTGCAGCTTTCATGAAATGGCAATGTACGACCTCCCAGCCATGATCGACCTAATTCTGCAGAAGACTGGGCAGAAGCAGATCTACTATGTTGGCTACTCCCAGGGCTGCACAATAGGTGGGTTAGAAGGAGCCACACATCACATTCCAGAACCACCTTGTAAATGTTCATTTTGGTGTTTGGAGGCAGAAAGTGGAGACATCCCACCTTTGCAGGCTGCCAAGAAGGCATGCTAGGTAGAAGGCCTCTCGCAGTGAGAGGTCCCATAGCAGCCATGCTTTCCATACAAGACATGTAGGAGGACCAGCATGCTCCTAGGGTAGTAAGAAAACTCCTGGTGACCTCAGTAAGCTCCTCACTGCAACTGGAGCAATTATAGCTCAGCCTAGAAAACCAGATTGCAGCATTCTACATCAAAACCAAAGGCATTTTGTACGGAGGTCACAGTTTCTGCTTGCTGATTAAATGCATGGTGCTTCCTTTCACTGTCTGAGCCATCAAGGGTATGAGATAGCTTCCATGATAATGATAATCTTTAGCAGTGGTTGATAGAAGGTGACAGTAGTGCTCCCTTCACCTGGTGAGTGGGGCAGGCCTTCCCATCAGTGGTAGTTGCTGAAGCACCTCATCAGCTACTTCTAACCGTAGGAATAAAGGCGTTGTCTTCTTTGGGATACTTCTAGAACTAGGGTTAAGGAAAAAGGTGGTAATTGATCCCAGATTTCTAACTGGAGCTAAAGCCAGCTAAACAGGTCTGGGCAGTGGGCCCAAGCGAAGCCTCGGATTAAGCACTTGAAGAAAGATCAACCAAGTCTCAGGTTGTTTTTCTGTTTTCTCAGCATTCATTGCATTTTCATCCATGCCAGAACTGGCTCAGAAAATCAAAATGTTTTTTGCCCTGGCTCCAGTAGTAACAATCAAGTATGCCAAAAGTCCCGTCATGAAAATGTCCTTCCTTCTGGACAGGCGATCCAAGACATTTCAGGTAGGAGATCACTCCATGCTCTCCTCCTCCAACCACACTGGTGCTAGAAAAGAGATCATGCCCAGACACAGTCCCCAGGGCTATCCAGTGCAGCAGAAAATTTTTAATTTCCGATGATTTATAAGCACAGACATGATTCGGGTGCAGGGGCTTTCCTGCATGGTCACTTTGTTGAGTGTATGCCTTCCTTCCATCTTCAGGTGGGATCTTCAGGTGTAAAAACTGGTCTTTCTGGGGTGGGGGCACTTGTTGAACTCCCAGAGAGACCACCTGGAAAAGAGCAATTTTTCTACGTTGATTTTAATGAGAATGAAAAATGAATCCAACACCTGGGGGTGGTTTGGGGAAAGAGGAGAGTCTCAAATATTGATTTCACTTGGTGTCCATTCATGGAATCGTAGAATCACAGACTGGTTTGGGTTGGAAGGGACCTTAAAGACCACCCAGTTCCAACCGCCCCTGCCATCAGCAGGGACACCTTCCACTAGACCAGGTTGCTCAAAGCCTTATCCAACCTGGCCTTCAACACTTCCAGGGAGGAGCAGCCACAGCTTCTCTGGGCAATCAACAACAGTTCAACAATTCAATGAACATCACCTCCTGCAATGACCTGTACACATCTCAGTGGGGCAGGAGGGCAAAGGAGAAGTAGGTTTGACGCCTGTGGGTACTTTGTGCTGCACACCCGCTCATCACCCAGCTGGTGGGAGAGCTCATGGGGACACCAGCCAGTGGTGAGTCAGGGGAGACAGTCCGAGGGCTAGGCTGCAGGAAGGGATATGCAAGAAATCAACCTCAGCTTCTGCTTCTGCAGCTTCTGCTCGGCAGGACAGATGCCTCGCTGCGGATCAGGAAGCTGTGGAGGTTTCTCCCCAAGCTGTGCAGGCACCTGCTGCTGCGCAAGTCTTGTGCCAACCTTCTCTTTCTGCTGGGCGGCTACAATGAGAAGAACCTCAACATGGTGGGTGTGCTGCCCCACGTTGGGTCAAGGGAGGTGGAGCTGTGGGTTTCACCACCTGGGTTTGCTGACCCTCCTGCCTGCTGCCTACCCCCTCCCTGCCAAAGACCCTCACCCATCTCTTGCTGCTTCTCCTCCCAGGACAGGAAAAGTCCCCAGGCTCTGATGGGTGAATGTCAGTGGCCAGGTGGCACTGGATAGTATCTGTGAGTTAGGGCTGCCTGTCACCAAGACCAGCTGTCCCTCCCACCAGCACCCCTGGGGTGCAGCCCCTGCTCCTACCCACACTACATCAACTCTGCTGAAGCAGCATCTGGGTGACCAAAGGTAAACACAAAGGTTTTGAGCACAGTCCCTAAGGCCAGAGGAGGTATTCCCAGGAGACAGGAGTACCTTATCCATCACCACTATTCTCCTCCTTGAGCTGTCTCAGAACAATTGATTTTTAATGAAAATTATATTCCTAAACCTGACCCACCTCTCTAGGCAGTGGGACTTAGCAGTGGCTGTTTTGGGAAATGCATCATCTGGCAAATACTGTCCTCACTCCTACCTGTTGGGAAGCAATGATAGGTTGAATATGTTTCCTTGCAGACCCGGCTGGATGTGTACACCTCCCACTATCCGGATAGGACCTCTGTCAAAAATATGATACACTGGGCCCAGGTAAGTTCCATGAATCGCAGATTCTTCACCCCTGGGATGGTCCCTTCACTGAGAGTCTGGTGTGTCCAGGGCAGACATGAGAGGTTGGGGATCTTGGACATTAGCAGCTTGTGAGAAAGTAAAGGTCAGGAATTAGGGGTACAGAAGAGACACTGGATGGAGGATGAGCTGCCCTGGTCCCTCTGGGGACCTAGGGACACTGTGGTGTATGCCCTGGTTTATGCCAGGTGGGACAAGGGAAAAGATGGGGAGGCCACAGGTGGATCCTGGGACAAGTTTGGGGCCCCCAGGGATCACAGAATCACAGA